GAGGAGACGCTAAAGTCCTTCAAGAACACTTAGAAAGAACATGAATGGGAGCTAGCATGACAAGAAAAGGAATGCGAGACCGTGTACCAGAGAGAACAACAGCGTACGCCCGAAGAGCATGGATGCTCAAACAGCATGAGTGCAAGAAAGAGAGGAAGCATGAACAGCAAGAATGCGAGAAGAAAATCCTTGAGCTCAAGCAGAGGTTAGCAGAGATAAATGCTTGTTCACACAACGACGCCAGTGCTGCGAATACCCCTGATCAGCGTCGGCCAGCTTGCCTACTCCCAGGCCTCTAAGTCAAATAACCATTTACGTCAGAGTGAAAGCTCAATGTATGACAACATCTAAAACGACAATATTATCAGCAACAGTGCCCTACTTACCAAGAAATTAAAGTAAATGCACAAGAACACAAGTTCCACAGTAGGACATTTCCGAAATGATCCTGATGACATCAGCCTAAAATGAATCACTCGTAATAGATCTAACTGCACTAAATAAAGAACCTTCTGAGCATTGAGAGACCCAATAAAATGCTGCTTGTTTGTTTCTGTTTGATTCACGAAAAAAAGAACCGCCAGACGTTACTACAGTCAAACTCCACTACAACAAATGCCGCTTCAGCGAAATTTCCGCTACAACGAAAAATTCCCGATTCCCCGTCAGCGGTCCATAAGTGTCAATGCATGAATATTGTTGCCACAATGAACACCTTTTCTTCAATCGTCCCGCTTCAACGAAATTTCACGATGCAATTCCAGGCTCAGATACTTTTTTATATGCAGTAAACCCAATCTTTAACATTTCTATGCATTTTCAGAGCCTGAAAATGCGTCAACAAATTCTAAAACACACATTGGCACCACCAGAAACCGCCGCTGTTCAGTAAGCATGGGCGCCGCCATTTCTCGATAGCGATGGCAATAAGACTGCCATGATTTTGTTTTGCCACTGGCTTGCTTTTGCGCCGCAGACGATCCGAAGCTGAAGCTCAGTCGCTCAGTTCATGGTTTTCTTCTTGCAGCTGCTGGGTGCAACCGCGGCACGATGCCTTTTCCGATTCCGATGCTTATCATTATGTTTGCACTTGGCCAATGTGGTAACTAATCAGAGTGGCTGTTCGTCCACATTATCAACAAAATCAGCTAGCTGTGAGTGATGTATATAAGAATGGCATAGAATAAGGCAAAAGTCACCGCTTCACGATACCTTGCTTCCATCTCGGCATTGTCGGATACACTTTGACAGCAGACAGCTGCTGGTGTTAACGTGTTAATGCAACCGTTTGGTTCATTCATGAAAGCGGTGTTAGGCGCTGTTTTAGCATGCCATTCACCATTGCCTTGCTCTGCGCGGGTGAGAATCACGTCGTAACGCTGCTGGGAAAGAATAGGAAGCAGCGGACATTTTTTGAATTTTGAGAATAAACATTTTGTTTTGCTAGCTCAGAACAGCTATATATTTTTTCGATTTCACTATAACGAAATTTTTTCCGCGCCCCGTCAGTTTTGTTGTAGCGGGATTTGACTGTATAGGAAATGACGTGAGTGGTTCAAAAATTCAATTTTCGCGTGGTTACACGGGACAAGTGGTGCCATCTAGCAGGGTGCAGTTAAAACACAAGCATCTGCAATCTTGAAGCCAATGGCGAGAAATTGATCAATGGCCCTTGTTGCTGCTGTGGCTCTCGCTGTTTTCGGTCAGCTGCTACTAGCGCAGTAAAGCCGGGCAATGTTGTGCATGGCATCAGTGACATGAGTCAGTCCGGTCGGCCCCGCTTCTTGAGGTGGGTAATTTGAAGTGCGCTAACCCGATGCGGAGCGCTAAAACGCGATTTTATTTCAAAATAGGCCTTTCCTTAGCACAAACGTAACACTACGAGGTTCCTCAACTTCGACATTATAGTTCACTTTCGTGTCCCTTTAAAAGATTTGCCCGCGCAAGTTGATGGCACCCTTTGATAAGCGAAAGGACGATTTATATGCCTATTTGCATCCTTTTGAGAGGATTGTGGTAGGACAAGGCTGGGAGAAGAGGGAGTCGGCCAATGCTTTTAGTTTGTGTCTCGTGGGAAAGGCGTGAATGTGTTTGACTGCATGCCAGCCCAACATTAATTAGATTATGATTTGGTAAAGAAAACTTTATTCAGAATATTCCAACTAACCGTCGAAGGTTTTCGTGAAAAATTCCGGTCTGAAAGCCTCAGAAGTCAGAGACTGGCAAACAGTTAGTCTGCCGATTGTCCAACTACTTTGATAGATGGATGGAGTTGTCAGACACAGAAAAAACATAAATAGGCGTCCGCAACAAGGTAGTGGAAGAGCAATTTTTCAACTGTTGCAGTAGCAAGTTGCCCATATTCTTCAAAGAAAGAAAGGTGGGCACGATAGAGGAAATGGCAAGGCAGGCCGACCAATTCATGAATTGATTTATATGTGGGGTTTACCGTCTCAAAACCACCATATAATTATGAGAGATGCCGTAGTGCAGGGCTCCGGAAATTTCGACCACCTGGGGTTCTTTAACGTGCATCCAAATCTGAGAACACGGGCCTACAACATTTGTGCCTCTATTAGAAATGCAGCCACCGCAGACGGGATTCAATCCCGCGACCTGTGGGTCAGCAGCCGAATACCTTAGCCACTAGACCACCACGACGGGGCTAACAATTCATGAAGGCCCAAGAAGTGAGAAAATCTTGGAAAAGGCGTCGGTGAAAGTGATGTGACAGAGCGCGAGATTAGAGGGCAGGTCCCCACGAGCAACGTCAGGGCACAGCAGCGATGTTTCTTGTGCAACCGGCCGGGACATATTGCCATCAATTGTCGTACAAAGAATGGCCCCAACGAAGACAGGAACGTGCTCTAATTGCCAAAAAATAGGACATAAAGCAGAGGATTGTAAGACGAAGTCAGTAGAAAAGTCTGCCTGTGTACTTAGATACAGAGAAGAGGGGAAAAAAGAAACAGGCATGCCCGTTGTAGAAGGCGATGTAAAAAGGCATAAGGCTCCAGTGTTGCGAGACACTAAGGACAATGAGTCACAACGCGGCAAACTGTAAGGACATTCCACTGTTGAGATGCCACCTTGGCTTAGGACTAGCGTCTAGGGCAAGTAACGAATTTAGATCGAGCTACAGTCAGTTTGGGTTTGACCATGTACGTGGATTGTTATTGAGTGTTATTGAGTTATGGAGTGCTTAAACGTGAATTCTGTGTATTGGTTTTGTTAATTCAGGGTATAAAGTGTGTTTGTCTTTCCACGCGCACCTCCAGTTTCTCTCAAATACATCTTTGACAAGTGTTCCAGAGATAGATTCGTGACACTCACCCCAATTAGATTAGCAGCCTGCATGACGTCATGCTTCCTGTGGATGTTGTACTGTGAATGTGTGGTTGAAAACACGTTTAGCTGAGTCGCAGTGATCTGCAGTGATTTGTTAAAGTGTTGTAATAAATTACAGTTTATGAAGAGAGCCTAAACCACTCTGTAAATAACCCTTGGTACTTGGTCTACTGGCCGAATGTATGTGTGTACAAAATCATTACAACTGTTTCAGGGTCTCTTTAACTAGAAATAGACTGTGGATCTGTGCATCTAAACTAAGCCCCCGTTTAAGGAGCTAAGCCCCTTAGTGTCTCGGCATGTCTCCTCTGCTGTAGCGACGATCAATTTGCTTGATTAAAGCCAGTTCTTTGTTTCCTCTGTTTATTCCCTCCTCTTGAAAGAGTGAGTAGGCATTGTGCCCCTGCAGGTAGCAGTTGCCAGCTTGCTCTCTCCCTCTTTCCTCTGTGTCCTTGTGTATCTGTGCATGCAAATCAAACAAATAAATAAAATAAGGGAGGGCACCACCACCTCAATGCTTGCAGGGTGGCGAGAGAGAGAGCGAACGGCACATGTTGGCCCTACAAACGCTGTTTCTGTGATGGACGCTGAACTACCAGCTCGCAAGAAATGAGAATGCACCCCGCTCGCGAGAGACAGTGACGATACATGGCCACTGTAGCCGTACATTCGCAGGAAGCAGCGGCTGCTCGGCAGTGCAAGCAAGCTGACCCTAGCCTTGTCAAAGCCCAGATCGCAGCGGCACGCTAGCGAAGGCAAGCCAACCCACAACTGAAGGCCCAGCAGGCAGCGCCAAATTACCACGACTAGGCTCTGCACTGTTATCATTACGATGAAAGATGAAAAGAACAAGAATGCACCCTTTATGCTCGTCGCTGACTTCAACGTAGACATCATGGAGAGTGACTGAATTATGCAACATATGATGTGTCAGTACACTCTTCGGTGCATTTCCCGAGACTGGAAATGACCAACAACCATTCCTGGAACATGTATCCACCCAGTCTTTGCATATTTCACATTAGAGCCAGTTGAAGAGCCATTGGCTCTCCATTTAACAGACCAAAAAGCAGCTATAATAAAGGGCAAAAGTCATCCTGATCTCGGCACGATCTACGACATGGAAGAGCAGGAACCTCATTATGACCCCAAGCAAGAAAAGTTGAAAGAGCGAAATAAATATAGATTATGTACATGAACTGGGACTTGCTAACTGATGGCTGATTGTAAATAAAAATGTACATTTGTGTATAGCTAAAAAAAAATCTCTCTTCAGTCTCTCATTGCCCATTAGCAACGATTGGCATATTTCAGTAGGAAACACCAGTCCATCACTGCGTGCTTCACCCCTTCTAAGGTTTTACGTTAGTGGAGTTTTTTTTTTTTTTTTCGTATTAGAATTCCTTCAGTTTTCCTTTCACATGAGGTTCTCCATTTCTCTCATTCCTCTGTTTTAAAATTGTTGCTATGTCTCAATTCGTTTTATTTATTTTATCAGAGAAATAAATAGAGCTTGTTACGGACAAGATGTGTCCATCTGGTTCACCAGAGCTCTACACACTCAGGTGAAGCAGCCATCAGAGAACTGTTTAGCCAAGCATGATTGGTGATCTCAACAAGATTGTTTAAAAACTAATTGCAGGTTCACTCACTTGTACATGGGTATATCTGGCTCGCCACCATCCATGGATCGTAGTGTGAGGCAGCACTGTTGCAGCTTACTCTTTGGATCATTCCAGTCCTGATTGAGAATGAAGTCCTGCATAGAAACAGACGGGTTTTCACCATGCATGTCCACAAGCTTAGACAAAAGTGTGTTGGAAAATCCAGATGTGAGTAGAACTTTTGCTGGGTGACATGATGCGGTACTCCAAAGCTTTGAAGAAAATGAGAAAAGTCCTCAACACTTTTTCCTCTACAAGTCTGTCACCCGAAGTGCTGTAGCATACTTGCAAAACTCCAGTCATAAGCCCGTTAATGAAAACATACATCACAAGTATGGCGATACTTATATTGAGCTTGAAAATAGTATAAAAATTCTTGGAGTTACATTTTCGAGCAATATGCTTTGGAGTGAACACATTAACAGTGTGCTGTGTCAGTTATCTCGTGTAGTGGGTATGGTGTACAGTGGCAAAACTGTTCTACCATACAAGGTAGAACTCTTTACTTTATAAATCATTTTTCTATTCACATTTTACCTATTGTTTCTTGGTATGGGGGACTACAACTTACACGAACTTGCAAAAACTGTACCTGATGCAAAAGAAGTATATTAGAATCATTTTTAACTTGCCGTATGATGCTCACACAAGCGAATTGTTTCAACAGGCTGGAATACTACCCGTACATCGTCTCTACAATTTTAAGTTAGCATTGGCAATCGGGCGTGAATTGAAAGAAAGTCGATATTTTTTGTATAACCTCTCAAAACTGCAGCCAAATATTACATTGTTTGAAACATGAAATAAAGAAACACGGAAAATAAAAACTTTGAGAACAAACTACTCCACAGATAAGTTATCCTACATAGTTCCTACGTTGCCTACCTAATAAATATGTGAAAGCTGGCATAGATTTTTTACACTGTACACAGATTCAATTGTGCAATATACACATGTTTAGTTTTTAAGATTTCTTTGCAGTTACTGTATTATCATGGTTGCTATTTTTATTTTTGAAATTTGGACTTGATTTTTATATCTTTGTTTATTTTTTATTTATTTATCTATTTGGTGTTGTTATTGTTGTTCTTCACATTGCTGATTGTTTGCCACTGCTGTCGTGCTAAAAGGTAGCTGTGAGCCTTTGTCAAGCTGCTCTTTTGGAGAGCAGCTTTTACCTGCAGCTGTCCTTCATCAAACTATTGATGAAAAATAAGCATTATTATTATTATTATTATTACACAGCATCATGTAAACATCTGACAAGTATTGAAGGCAAAGAAATGCACTACAATGAGCTTTTAGGGTGGCCACATTTTCTGTTTCCGAATATTGCACGGGTATGTAAACATGATTGAGCGAGGTGTGGCAGCTTGGGCTAGTTGGTATTACATGACGATAGTTATAGCGCGAGAACAGAACGATGACAAAGAGACAAGAAGTACAGCACTCGTTTCCTTCGTGTCCTTCTTGTCTCTTTGTCATCGTTCTGTTCTCGCGCTATAACTATCGGATTGAGCGAGACCTGGTCTGACATCCCGAATTTCAAACGCTGCTATGCATCGCTTCAACAGAGGTCTGCAAGTTGGCTTGGTTTTATAATAAAACATCCTCACCAATTTGAAGAGTTGGTAGCGACAAGTACCAGTGAGCAGCTACAAAACAGGTAGGTAGTCTGTTTAAAACCTGTTGTATAGTGCCCCTTTTGTAACGTTAGCTACACTGGCCGTGCTGAGCCAATTTCGCGTGGCACTGGTCTGCGCATGCACAATAATACTTCGCCGCCGCCGGAGTGCGCGCAATTCGATGCGCTGCGCAGACGATCAGTGGTGTCACGCACCGGAGCCGGCACTTCCCTCGCACTCGGTCGCGGCTGCGCGCGACTCGCCGCCGCCGGTGTGCGCTTTCCAGAGGATTGCCGTCATAGCCTTGGTAGACATATGGACGCCGACGCGCGCGCCTTCCCTGTGCAGTCGCCATCTGACACTGTGCTGGAGCCGCTTGATAGAGCCTCTGACTGGCGTTTGTCACTGTGGTATAGCCACGAAGAAGGAGAGTGGAAATGCTGCTCAACAGTGCAGTAGAGCGGAGAAGCTTAACTCATCGGATCCCGAAGTAGTTGCCCGGCAAAATAAATAAACATGTTCCACATAATACGTATACCATGTGTGTGTCATTGGAACAGCTGTAAGCATGATATCTGGAAAGCTAAGAATATTCAGCTGAACCTTTGCTAACGCTACGTATATCCTGGCATAGCTGGGCTAAGCCACTGCCATTTTTTAAAAAAAAAGCTTGTATTTTCAGTAAATTGGCCTGTTCAGATTGCTTCTGCTGAGATTTTATTCTATTTTGCACAGAGTCTGGAGTAGCTTCTTTAGAGCTTTAGATCATAGAAAGTGAGCTCTACTATATCTCCAAACAAGCAGCAATGACATTTATTCTATTCGTTGAGATAACTTGAACGACTAGCCCTGTCAGCAACATCAATTTTCTGAAGGGAATCCAATCACTTGCCAGATAAGTGAGAGCGTTATACATTTGGTTCTATTGGCCGTACAGCTACTGATGCTTGTCACCCGACAGACGGCAGTAACAAATATACCAAGTCGGCCTCTGATGCACAGCACGGGCGGTGCGAAATATGGAAATATGTTGGTGGCAGAGCGAGCAATACGATGCACCAATATAGAGACCCTGGCCATGGTTTCCCAATGTTCCCTCTTCTACTACTCCAAAGGTGAAGAGAGCACTGAGGTGCACCCTTGCACCCAAGCCGCTCTTGGAAAAGACGCTGCTCTACTACGAGAGCCAATGTTTATCGCACGACACACATTCTGAAAAATTTTCTCGCAAAGACGGCACACAACTCGACTATATGACCAGTGGCATCAGCCGAAGTTTCTCCTGCAGTTGCGAAACTTCATGACATTGAAACTGCAAATAAACAAGCTTCATTACAATACTGAGATTAGAAGTACAGGGTATTCTATGGACAGTCATAACAAGTATGTACCTCATCATGTATCTCAGTTTCATTGCACAACGGTGCATAAAACACAGGGACACAGGCTAAACAGTCTGTGTTTGTCTTCTTAAGCACTGTTCGACAATGCCGACTAGCTCAATTTTCCTTACTACTGCAACATCAAGGTTTCACTGCACTTGATTAAAATGCACTGATTAGCACCCCTTGCATGTCTAAACAAATTGCATTATACTCAGAAATGTCAAACTTCCTATGTAAACCCAAATTACCCCATAATTTTATTCAGCAAACAGCATGCTGAGCAGGGCACCTTGAGCCAATTTATTTCCTAAAAGCTTCCAGCACAAAGGTAAATCATGAAGTTAGGAATGAGTTTTTTTTTAGCATAATTAGCTGCGTCAAGCTGTCTGAGGCTTTTCTTCGAAGCAAGAAGACATAAATGTCATATATGCAACTGCGCAAGCCCACCAACAATAATATAGCAAGTCCATCTTTAAACAAAGCAAATGCTTCTTAATGTACCACTGAGATAATTTATAAACACTTCAGGTTTTTAAATTTCTGTACCAGCGCATCACCACAGCAGAACTCGCATCTAAACAAAGATCAAAAGAACTACCTGTTTATTTATCTATCAATAACCAAGTACGAGCCCTCGCAAGGGGCAACACATGTTAATTAATTGAATAAGCTCTTGACACTTGCTATCCGTCTTGTTTATTAGCACAATATTGTAGGGATAGAAAAAAAAAGCTATCATATAAGTAGGCACTCCTGGCTGCTACTTGTCAAGAACGGCAGCATGACAAAGAGTGAAGTTTGGATGCCGGAGTTTTGAACTGCTGTGCTAAACACTGCACAAAGTGACATAGCTAGCACAAAAATGCAGGGATATGTTTAGCAAGCATAGAAAGCTGGGCGAATTAGTAAGGATTCATCTTCAAGCAAACTCAGCAGCAGATAGGACGTTTGTGTCCCATCTGCTGTGCAGTTTTTTAAAAGAGAATATTCTTATTCAGGAGACAAATTATGTTTAGTTATATCAATCGATAGGTGCATATATGCTTCATTATATAAGATTTCATTATAAAGAGGCTCAAGTGCAGTAAGAAGCAAATGAGCTAATTTTCACAGCAGTGCATGCATTGAACTTATAAAGATAATAAAGAAATTTTTTTTTGAGAATTCTATTTGTCCAATGCATTAACAACAGGAACAACAACAAAGTGAATGTAGAGTAAAATAATCAACCTTGTATGATATCATGAGCACTTTATTCATCTGAAACATAAATTATCTTTTCAAATCCGTGAAAAGTATTCCTGGCTCTTTTTATTGGTTTGACATTAAGCTTTACAGTAAAAGAGAGAAAACATTTGAACTTTGGCACGTTATGCCAACAGTTTGAGAAAAAAAAAATAAAGGAAAAGGTAGGAGACCCACAACGAGTGGTACATTCACTATAATCACAATTAAAGATGTTAAAAAAAGCATACAGTTGACCCAACTAATTAATAACTCCTTCAGCTCACCTGTAGTCGTGGAAAGAAGCACACCTGGCAGAATGCTTTGCAGTATTCCAAGCCCTTGTCAACAAACAACGCTCCAAGAAAAGCTGCAAATGAAAACAAAGATTAGTACGAAACAAAGTAAGATAATTTTGATGTATTAAACTCTGCGGCCTAAATACACTTTACTTCTCTTTTGGCATTAACTTTGCACTAATGTTGACAATGAGTGCACATTGTTTTGTATTGGCCGTTGCTTCCCCTGAAGACCGAAGTAGTCTTGAACATGGTTGATTTTGTCAAGGCATGTCAACACTGGCCATAGACAGCTGTGTACCCACTACCACTGTGCCTGCTGACTGTGTTGCTAAATTTTAATTCATCCAACTGAATAAAGCTAACAACAGGCGGGAACACGGCAGCTGCTGCTTGCGTGGGTGCAAATCCAAATGGCACTTCTACGGCCATCAGTAGAGGCCGGATTTTTAGGCACTAAAAATGGGTTTTAGGTACCAAAAATAGGCAGACAAAACCCAGTTTTAGGCCCCCAAAGCCGTAAATATAGGCAAAACAAATTTCTGAAAATAAAAATGATAATTTTCCAAGTAACACGTGCAGGACCTGTGTCTATGACAAAAAGGCAAAAAGAGATGTTTTAGTTTATAATCGTACAAAGGTGCCAATGCTTTAGCATAGCCATGCAACATTTTTTTCCCACAGCATTTGCGGAACATGGTCTCTCCTTTTATTGTCTAGCACAGTGAGTCAAGTGTACTCTGTCGAATAAACACGCTCCTGGGTCTCTTTCTTCTCGGCATAACTTGGAAGGGCAGCACAGGAGCAAATAGCCAGACTGCTAATAGGCCATAAGGGTCTTTTACACTAGTATTAACCCGGTCTGATTGCACAGGGTTCATTTCTTTTCTGTCTGTAAACACCTTGAAGGGGCCCTCATCAGGTTTGAGCATTTACAGCAGGCAAGAGAAATGCATGCACTGGGTGCTCACGATCTCGTCTGCCAAAATTTGCAATTCTACGCGACCTGGAAAGAGCTGAAATGTCAAAGTGAATGCCGCTAGCCCATTATTTCATTGGCCCATACCAACATGGTGGAAGTGACATATACAAAGTTTTACGTACATCAAAGTAGTACGTGACACTGCAAGAAATTTTCAAGGCGACATGTGTAATTTCTATAATCTTTTGATTGAATAGAAGTATGAAGGTTGATAAATATTAAAACATACAAACAGAATCTGTACACATTACTTTTTCTTTTAATTCTTATTGAGTGAAATGCGCGCAACTAAGCTGCCTCTACTTTATTTGCATTAGTGTCCTCATCGTTCTCGAATCATGTTGGAGCCAGCCTTGAAAATGCTTGGCATGTTTTTATTGCATCGTCTGTTAGAGAAGTTCCAGCAGTATGACGCTGTGTATAATGCTATGGATACATGATCCATGCGAGTGTCTCCAAACATACATGCGTGCATAGGAGGATCAAGCCCACAGAAACAGGCAGTACACTGCACAGAACGTCAAAACGACACAACACCGATTGCGTGCACGATTTGGCTTGGGCATGTCATGTGAATGCAACTTTGCATGCACGTGACTTTTGATTAGTCTGCGTCATGTGACCTTCTGGCTCTGAAACGCTCCGGTACCGCAACACCTGCCCGCAACACCTGCCGCGACTGTCACTAGCTACACCGCCGATTCGTCGGTTCACGCGCAATAAACCTGTTACGTGCCTCATGACGGATGATATGAACTTGGATATCCTAACTGTCGAGCGGTAGCTGACAGCAGCGTGTTCTGAAAGATTTGGAAATATGCGCCCATTTGTGAACGAAACCACAATAAAACTGTAAAAAGGCTTGAAGCATTTCAGCTTTCCCGTCGTTCGCATATAACTATGGTTGGGCAGACTTTGGCCCTTATTTTTCAGTTGGCTTGAGGCGAAACTTCACCGCGCGTTTGTGACAGCCGCTGTACCTTATACCCGCGTCGCCCAAGAGTTTGGAAGGCCTTCCCATCAATAGTCTATTAACTCAATGGCATACCTGCCAAGTTTAAGGATTTTGAATCCGGAAGATTTCTGCAATGGGGGGTGGAAAGGATAATTGCGCTGAATTATTTGCTTCAATTTTTTTTTTGCCACCAAAAGAAAACAAAATGAAAAAAAAAAACAGCAAAAACAAAAAGAGAGAAGGGAGGTCCCAATCACAAGCACAAATATTGGCCCTGATGTCTTATAATGACTTAAAGTGGCCGAATACATGAGGGTAGGGTTTGCTAAGAAGGTGAGAGTCTCACGGGGGGAGCGCAAATACACCCAAAATTTTGCCTCATCAAAATAACCAGCAAAACCTATTTCCATGAAAACAACTCGTGTATATCACTTCCTGGGACACACGTGAACAGACGGGACGGCACAGCTGGATGTCGCGAAAACTTGTATCAAAGCCTTGCTCACTACTAGATTTTTTAAACTGGACCGGCAACATGCTTTTATGGTTTTCAAACGGTAGTTCCGTTTTCAATCAACATGCCGTGCGCTGGCTGCGCACGTGCCTTCAAAACTAAGTCATATTATGATTTCTATGATAGCATCTGCCGCGGATTTGTCCCCAGAGTTAGTGGAAAGCAGTGTTCCTTTGACTGATCAAGCGTTATATGCGCGCGCACTTTCGGAGTTCTGTCAGTTACGTTGTCCCCATACATGATCGTGTCAAGAACGAGCACGGTTTTGTCCACAGTGGTTGTGGCAATGACAACCACGCGCACTGTAGAAGACGGTGCGCTCGCTGGTCACATGCGTACTTCCGAAGCTTCGAGCACGCTGATTGATTGATATGTGGGGTTTAACGTCCCAAAACCACCATATGATTATGAGAGACGCCGTAGTGGAGGGCTCCGGAAATTTCAACCACCTGGGGTTCTTTAACGTGCCCCCAAATCTGAGCACACGGGCCTACAAGATTTCTGCCTCCATCGAAAATGCAGCCGCCGCAGCCGGGATTCGAGCACGCAGCTCTCGACCTTTGTTCGATCGTTTCAGTACTAAAGTTATTATCGTCTGCGGCGATTAAGAAAAGTGTTCAGAAATGGACACAATGAAATTTGGCTGCGGAATTTCACAAATTCGTATCTGCCCTTGTGGCACATCACTGTGATTCTACTGCATAGCTGCCAAGTTCAAGGATCCCGAATCCGGGAGATTCCCGAGACGGGACGGGACGAGGGGGGGGGGGGGGGGGGGGGGGGGCTGAATTATGTGCTCTTAGTTTTTTTTTTGGTACCAAAAAAAAAAAAAAAAACTGAAGGCAAACAAACTAACAAACATCGCAAAAAAACAAAGGTGGGGGGGGGGGGGGGGGTCCTCAATCACAAGCGCCACCATCAGCATTGCAGTCTTATGGTGGCTTGGAGTGGCCAAACACACGAGGGTAGGGTTTCCCACTAAGGTGAAAGTTTCAAAGGATTAACACAACTAACATAATCTATTTCCATCAAAACAACACGCTTATGTCTTCCCGGGACACAAGTGAACAAATGGGATGGCACAGCTGGCTGCCGCAAATGCGCAGGTCAAAGCTTTGCTCACTCTACTAGATTCTTTTGACAGGAACGCCAAAATGCATCTGGCCCTTTTTATTTATTATGATAGCAATTATATGGACCACCTAGGCTGGTTTTCTTGCCGTCGCCGCCATCGTTCACCATCTGTATACATATCTATATATATATATATATATATTAACACTCAAAAAAAAAAAAAAAAAAAGAGCCCCAGCTTGTCGCAATGCGCCTACGCGCACTTATCCTGTAGTGGGGAGAATCGTGTGCCTTCGGCTTTTACTGGAATGATTGCGTTAGTTGCCAGGCCCACAAAGGTTACTTCGGCCTCTGCACAGGCCCCGTTCGCAAAAAAAGCCCGCTTTCATACACAGTGAAGTATAACAACTGGGACACTTGTTAGTTTGTACTCATCAGTACCTGTGATTACATATCGTGCATCGTTTTTGTTTAAACAGTGGGTTAAGTGTTGAGCAGTAAACGTTAGTTCGCTCTCATCCTGCGTGTCTCATTTTCTTGCGTCATCTGTGCGAGAGCAGCGCGCTGCACGTTACCATCTGCTTGCCGTTCTCAGCGTGACACTCCAAGTTGTTGCTCTCGCATTCGTTGCTTCGCCCTTACGGCAGCACTGTGGCTTTTTTTCTTTTTATACGTATTTATGGCCTTTAGTCTACCGCAGTGTGCCCTCGAAGCTTGTAGATCGCTATCGCGTTGCCGCGACCACGGTTTTGTGCGAGGTGGTTGCAGCAAACGGTAGTTCCTTTTTACAATCCTCGTGCGCTTGGATGCACAGGTGCCAAAACTAAGTCATTTTATGCGATCCAAGATTGCATCTGCCGCAGTTCTGTCCGCAGAGTCTGCGGAAAGCAGCGTTGATTTGACTGATTGAGTGCACACTTTCGATGTTCTGTCAGTTACGTCGTCGCCATACATGATTGTGTCAACAGCGACGGCAGTTTCGTTCACAGCGGTTGTTGCAACGACAATCACACGCACTGTAGAAGACAGTGCGTGCGCTGGTTGCACGCGTACTTACAAAGCTTTGAGTACACTGCTCTCGGCCTTCGTTTGATGGTTTCCATACTAAAGCCCATATCACCCACCGCGATTAAAAATGTGTTCGGAGCATTCGAATTCAGGCCCAATAAACATAGTGAAATTTGGCCGGAGATTTTCACAAACTCGTATCTGCCGCCATTGCATGACTGAGATTCTACTGTACGTTTAGATGAACGCCTCTTTAACTCATTTATAATAAAAAAGGGTAGGTTTGAAAAGCCTGGAGCAAATTGAGCTGCTTTTTTGCCAATGCGGCCAGATCAAGCACAGAAATTTCTATTTCCGGGAGATTTTCATCACAACCGTACAAACGGAAGAAACAGTCAAAATACGGGAGTCTCCCGGCCAATTCGGGAGACTTGGCAAGTATGCTACTGTACGTTTAGATGAACGCCTCCTAAATTTGTTTATAATAAAATGCGGTTTGTTCGCAGAAAGGATGGAGCGGATTGACCTGCCTTTCTGTCAATGCGGCCAGATCCCGCACAGATATTTTGATTTCCGGGAAATTTTTATGACAACCATACAAATAGAAGAAATGGTTGAAATCAGTGAGTCTCCCGGGCAGTCCTGGAGACTTGGCAGGTATGTAATAGTCAAGTATGACCTGCCACACAGGACATTTGGAAGGCACTGAGTCAATGAAGCACTCTATAACACAATTGAAACTCCGCTACTAAGTAATGAAACTGATCACCACTGAGTAATGAAAGCAGAAACAGCGGGAATGTGCCCTTTTGTTCACATATCCGCATACTCACGATTAGAACGAAAAACTGACCGGTATGACTTGAAGCAGTATATGTGAGCTTTATGAATTTTTAGCGCGACAAGTCCATCGAGTAGAGAGAGTTGTGAAGTTTTGATGGCCATCAAAAGTGGCAGTACGATGCAGATATAAGTGATCCATTCACGTGTTCCAGAAAGATATCTGCGAGTCGTTCCAGCATAAATAAAAACTCTGTGAGCACACTATGGTTTCAGAATGAATTTTGCTAATTTTTCGGTGATACAAAACTTTGGGCGATACGAATGTTCTCGCTCTTCCTTGAGATTTGTATCACGGAGATTCTACTGCACTGAAGTCATTCTTTAATTATTTATACAAAGGTTTATTCTATCACATACATGCTTTGAGGTAAGCTAAATTTAGGTCTTCATGCAATATGATTACCTGCTCCTTTTTGACCATGTAAGAGCCTAATATATTACTGTAAGTAAAAATATCTGCATATTCTTATTGTTTTGGTTGTGCACCAAACAAACAACAGGAACAATAAAACTATCAAGCACCAATGCCACAACTTCAAACTTTTTTTTTCTTGCCTTCTTTGAAACAACTGTCTGAGTGACCACTACTCTCTAAATAACTACCATGTTTGAGCTACCGTTCATGTTGATTATGTTGAGAAGATCGTGTGAAAAACAAAATGTGGCTACTGAAATTTAAGCAATCTTACAACACTGATTCCATAGAGTTGGTAGTCATGTTGCTGGCAAAAAATCAGGTGCCTGTAGAACAAAGTTCGCAATTATATTTGCATTCTGTAGTTATGTTGATTTGTCAAAAAGTGGATACAAATAAACGAAATAGAGAGTTAATTTTGTTATTACAACAATAGTAAAAAAATTATTATATTTCGACATTTCATGAAAAAATAAAATTTCGTTGGTATGAAAAATACAACACAACAGAACTGCTGAAAAGGCATCTCTGTCTGCAAAAATAAGCACAAATTATGATTCTTACCTTCAAGAATGTCGGCGCGATCTTTGGTCTTGAGCTCAGCCTTCGCGTATGGGTATATAGCGTACTCCACCATTCCCAAGTCATCACACACTACTGCCTGTGTTCGGTTGTTCACCAGAGAGCTTCGAAGAAGCTGCACGACACAGAACGAAAAGAATAAAAATGTTATCTATATATAGCCGCCATGCATGAGCCGGCCCTGCATGCGCACGGTAGTCCACTGAACAGCAAACGCACACACATGAAGAAGAGAATGAGGGTGCTCGAGGCAGAAGCTCATGAGGACTACCAACCTTCGGATCTTCTTGATTGCTGTGCGTCGTTCACTTTGGGCACAAGTTCGCCCTTAATAAACCATGTAAATAGAACATCCTTGTTGCGAGGCTGCTGCATTTGTTAGATGCCGGAGACGTGACCTGGCTCATACGCCATGTTTATTCCATGCTGACTTCTTCCTTCTCCACCTTTACTAACCATCGCTTGATACGTAACATGATTCCCCCACCCCCCGAAAGAAGGCATGAATTATGAACAAGAAAAAGTAACCTAGGAGAGGTTAAAAATCCATAAATGTCAAAATTAACAATTTCTTCTATGCTCCAGGAAAGTTCGGTAAACTTTCAAAGACTTCAGTGGAGAGTGCAGCAGTCCGGTTAACGCAGGAGTTCTGGTGGGCGAGGCTGACTGTGGCGTTCTAGAGAAGATAACCGCGTCCTGCACAACTGCACTGACCATGACACGGCTTCAGCAGCTGCGAAGAATGAACAAAGCTGGACGTCCTTGTTGCATCGGCAACTCGGATGTCGTCGGGGTTGTATTTCTAGTTGTGAATGGTGCAATCCCGATGCTTCTTGCGTACGTGTTTCTCGACAGATTGTAACAGAGTGCCGGAGTGCTTGCGGTTTGCAAGTAGTGCTTCCGCGTCTTTCTCGGCGTTTTCTGTGGTGTTGCAGTGGGTGTAATAGCAGGCGCAGGGAGCATCTCTGGCGACTTTTCTTTGTGCAAAAGTGTCTGACGTCTTTAAATGGCCTTTGGTTTGGAGATCTTATTTTTCGATGTTCTTCAATTGGTGAACGCGCTTCCGTTGAATTTCGCGTTCCTCGATGCCTTTGTTGCAGTCTCTCTTGTGGTCGCATGTGTTTGTAAACTTGGCCTTGCTTTCTTTGCTGATGTTGCTCAGGAGATGGCTGTAGTGGAGCCCCTTTCGAAATTGGGCATTCACTTCTTTTACAAGTTGATATGTCCCATAAACAGCTGATGCATAGTGAGCTAGTGTCTTGCTGGTCGGGCATAGTTGGTAATGCGTCATCATTGCTAAAATGCTCTTCAGAGGCTCCGGTAAAGTGGTCCAGTATGGACGCTTCTGACAGACAGCTGCGTGCGAGGTTTGATGTTTGTATTACTTCTGCATTCTTTCGGTACTTAGATTGGTGAGCCCTGGGTGAGGTTACCAAAGGCGACTTGGCATTACTAGGCTCGATCTGCACAGTCTGCTGAACCATAGAAATCAAGTCTTATGATGAGAAACACCTTTTCGAGTCGTCATAGTGGGGTTGGGTAGTTTCTCGATATGTTGACAGTTTGCTTATCGTGGACATGGTGTCATTACAAGGCAAACGGTGAGCGTTTGATTTATAAGCACTTGAGGAGCCGCGTAATGGAAAACGAGGTGGTGTACCGTGTATGCGAGATGAAGATTGAAGAGTATCAGGTGTGTGAACAACGTCTCGTGCCACACGCTGGAGCGACGATTTTAAAACTAACGACATTCGTGCAGAAGAGAAACCTGATAGAAAGTTATGTGTCTTGACAAAAGCGCGAGGACTGTGCCGGCTGAAAGCGATTGTGTCCAGATGGTCAGTAATAAAGAAGTCCTTGTCGTAGTCCTTGAAACGGGTAATCATCTCTTCTTTTATCTTTTGCCACGATTCGTCGTTCTCGAAGATGTGGGTGAGGTAAAACTTAAATGCCTCACCAGAGATGTAGTCAGTGAAGTTTATGATCATCTCCCGTTCCGACCATGATGCAGCGGTAGCGTGGAGCTCGAAAAGGTAGAACCAGTCCTGCACAGGTCCATCGTTTGCTGCCCCGATGTACTTGGGGATGTCAAGATGGGCCGATGAATCTGTCATGGTGCTGGTCGTTGTTTCCTGGTTGGAGATGATTCGGTAGTCAATGTATGGTCAGGGCGTCTTGTGGAGAACTGCGTTGATGATGAGCGACTGATGAAGGGGCAGGCAGGTCTCCATCCTGGCGACTCGTGCATTGCATTGCAACTCAGTATCTCAGTAGCAACTTCGTCGCATTGCAACTCAGTATCTAGTAGACCTATTTACAGATGAATATGAGCTCTATTACAGAATTCATGGTTTCAGATCCTTGCATGATACACCTACTTCTATCAGTCTGCAATTGGTAAAGTAAGATGCACATTTTATTGATTCCACAATGACACTTCCTCTAGCGAATACCGGAATACGTACACCACATCGCGACATCGATATCCAGTCATCCAGTACAGGCAAGTAGGGGCCCGCAAACAATCAAACTCCACTACAACAAAATTCACGTCAAACCCAACGATCCAGTCGGTGGAAATGACCCTCGTCATCAATGAATGACTGTTGGCAACGTACTTCACTGGCAAGTTTTTCATGCCCTTGAAGCACCGCGGTTTGGCGCTCTTGCCAATAATGATAAGGGGCCATTTGTCAGACCCGTTTCTATTTGCACAGAGCAACACGGTGGCTCGCTTTTTACTCTGCTTGCCTTCGTAGCACTGTTTGCCCTTGAAGACAAGCATCTTAGCTGGTAGCATTTCAAAGAAGAGCCCAGTCTCGCCCGCATTGTACCCGTCGGACGCAGCGTACTTTTCGACGATGTCAGCAGCATTGGGTGCGATCCATGGTGACGCACCGTCACAGTCTGGAGAAGCGGACTCTCTACACAGCACCTTCCCAACGATCTCATGGCGCTCCTTGAATCGGCTGAGCCACCCGGCGCTTGCCTTGAAGTTTTCGTTGATGCCTAAAATGCAGGCGTACTTCAGTGCTTTCCACTGAATTAGGCTACCACTGATCGGTATCTTTTCAGCCCTCGTTTCACTGCCTTGTCAAGTTCTACATGGGCTGGCTGGGTCGTTTTCTTTTGTTGGGTAGATGTGCTCGACGCTAGCACATTTAAAATGCTTGCAAAAGTCTTCAGTATCGTCGACAACGAGCGCGGAGAGATACCGTACTTCTCGGAAATACATTCCTCTTCTTTTTGCCATTCTGCTGCTCCCGCGGCAATTATTTTTGCCTTTTGCTCTAGCGAAAGAAACTTCTTTTTCTTACTCTGTGGTGCTGCCATAAGCCTTCGCTGCCATAGACAGAGGGAAAAAAAAAACCTGCAGGTCGAAGCTAACATGGTGCTGGAGTAATGATCCAAAGAGATGAGGCACAAGGCGGGGACTAACCAGGACTAACACTGCTAAAACCACAGAACAAGTCAAAAAGACGAGCCAGCAGTGTTGCGTTTGGCGGGCCACCATTTTGCGGTGGCCGCCAGAACAGAAGAAAGGCAGCCGCCTCATTTTGTGGAGATAAGGATCAGCGCCAAGACGCCCTGCTGTTTACATGAACTGGCCGCTGCGTGGCTGAAATTACTCTACGGAGCGCCGTTGTCCTTCGGATCCGCGCAGAGATGCGACACGTGGCGTATTCGTGCCCCGGTAAAAGCCACAATGCCAAGCTTCCACCGATTTACGGACGTCAGACCACCACGCTGCGCGTCTCTGATTGAGGAGCCGCCGGCGCTCAAATCAGTACCAGATGTCCAGGTATGGCCCCTCAAAGGCACCTAGACGGCGATCGCCATTCAACAAAGCTTGGGTGGTCGGCCCGATGTGGTCAGCGAGATAACAGACTCGTTTTACCCTGCTCAAGCAAGATTCGTCGAAGGAGGCAGCATCGCCGGGACCATACACGTGTTTAATTTGTGTATGTGTTTGTTGGGGGCGGTGCCGGCATAACGACACTCGTGTGTGCTGCGAGACATGTTATTGGACAGTCCCGTTGTCACAGAATGAGCGCTAAAAATGTGCGCGCCGCCAAATTCTTGCGATAACGTGCGGGAGAGACGCCGGGAGGTCAAAAGAAAAAAAACAAACAAACAAACATCCAAGGCTCCCCGGGCGCGCGCTCTCCCCTCGGAAGCGTGGCTTCGCCGACGAACCTCCTCACCCCACATCGGCGGCCGAGCAAGCCCTCGAAATTTCTAGAACGAAAGAGGTGTGGTCATACCGAGTTGAGTCATCCGTCGCGGAGGGCATTCGAACCGTCTCGCCCCTCCCCAGCCTTCGCTGCGTATCGAGCCGACGAGATAACGAGAACCTTCTGGAATCTCGCGCGGAAGGTATTTAATCGAGCAGCCGAGACGAGAGAGCAGGAGAAGACGGAAGTTAGCGCCAGAGCGCGTAGGGTATCCCGCCGTGTAGTCGGCGAAGGTTTTGTCCGTAGGGACAAAGCAGGAGAAGACGTGAGGTTTCCTGGAAAAGAAACTTCGGAAAAGAAGACGGAAGTTAGCGCCAGAGCGAGTAGGGATTCCGCCGTGTAGTCGGCGAAGGTTTTGTCCGTAGCGACAAAGCAGGAGAAGAAGAGGATTTCCACCTGAGGGGTGAAGGCTCGAGCTACAGGCAAGAGCGTGTGTTTACCGCTATCGAGCGAAGACGATAGCGGTAAGTGTGTGAAGCCGACATGTTTCCGGCGAAGAAGTTTGAAGCTTGGAGAGTGGCCAACTTAAGACGCGAGGTTTCCTGGAAGAGAAACTTCGAGGGTCGCGGAACGACAACAACGCTGGACTTTGAGTGAGTGATTCTCGGAAGAGTATCATCCAGACTTTTGTTCCAAGAACTTTGGACTGAATAGGTTTTCTATCTCTTTAGTCTTTAAGTGTCTTGGTTGTTCAATGCATGCGACTGCATTGTAGTGCGTATTGTTGTCTGTGTCCGTTGTTTCGAGTGTGGCTGATTGTACTCTGTAGTACGTTGTTTGATTGGTGACATATTGTATGCAACTATTGTGGAGTGTGCATACTTGTGTATTGTTTTTTTGATCTGCCATTATTGAGAATATAATTTTGTGTTGTTTATCA